ATACATACATATATATATGTATGTATGTATGTATGCGTGCATGTATATGTATGTCTATATATATGTGTGTGTATTCCTTGAATTTTGAATTTTATTTACAGGAAGATTTATTTGCATGCCACTAAATTCTTTTGTATTTACATATCAACCATCTACTATGCAATTTTTACTTATACGCCATCTGAAATATGCATGAAAAAGTGTTTTTCACTTTTTAAACGTTAAAATATTGATTATAGAGTACTGAAAGATTCACGGCGGTAGAGTCGTAATTAAACATTTTAGCGTTTCAGGATAATCCATCGTACACCCAAATAATTGAAAAGTAGCAAAACAAGACACCAAGATTTTTTACATAAATAACCTGAAAAGGGAAAAAAAAACCCGTGCCTTGCATAGTTAAATTGCTTCACTATATGATCGTAAGTACATATATTCACTCTTATCCGAAATTATAGGAGATGAATTTATAATGGTGATAAGTATAGATTTAGAGTAGTTATCTGATTTTGATAGTCGTAATTGGACTACAATAAATGTAGTTCTTAGCGATAATAATGTTAGCAGGACGATAAGAGGTTGTAGTTGACAAAATTAGTAGTTATTCACATAAACCGCAGTTAGAAGTTGCAATAATAATTATTTATATAAGTCGTAGTTAGCCACACAGGCTGTAGTTGACAACTTTAGTAGCGTCATTTGTCCGAAGAGGTTGTAATAGGAAGTTGAAGTAGCAGTTAGTCACATAGGTCATAGTTGGTCACATAGGTTGTACTTGGTAGCTACATTGTCGTCAGTTGGCTACATAGGTCACAATCGGTAATTGTAATAATATTAGTTGAACACAGAGGACATAGTTAGTGCTGCAAGACTGTCAGTTGGCCATAAAAGTCATAGTAGAAAGTTGTAGTAGTAACTAGTGACATAAGTTGTAGTTGGCAGTTGCAAAATTCTAAGTAATGAGAAGTTGCAATGGCAATTGACCGCATAAGCTATAGTGGTAATTGATCAAATGTCATAGTTGGTGCCACACTGGTTTGTGACTACAACCTTTTTATCGGGTCTTTTATTTTACATTAGAGACAATACTTATCAATAACAACGCATATAAATTTTTAGGAGCATGGAGAAAGTTACCATATTTTGAATACGACGATCACAAACAATTATCACTAATGTTTATCGTCGAATCTTTAATACAATTTTATTCGTTACATCGTATTTGAGATACTTCATCGCATTGTATTCGAGATTCCATGTTACACTGTATTAAAGATATTTTGTAAGAAAACAAATCTCACCCATGACTACGAGCAAGGGTGGCTGACAATGGTCGATGAAAGCAACTCGCGATGGTCGACAATGGTGGTGGCTATAGGAGCTAAAGGTTTTAGCCAGGTCTACATTCCAGAGAAACGCTGAAATCAAACTTTTTCTTTTTCTCCTCTCAAATGAAGAAAGAGGGTCTATTTGTAGCCAATAGGGGAGGGGCACTGTGGTCATTCGACGAAAAACTCACGTAACCACCTCATCGGATGGTCCATATTGAACCCCATTGATCATGAGAGTTTTTTTTAATGTTTTGAGAGTCCAAAATAATTTAGAATTAAAAGAGCTCAGATTCGTTGGATTATTCTCATCGAGACACTAAATTTTACTATAATTATGTCAAATTTGAAGTTCATTTAATCATTAAATTAATGATTAGAAAGTGTCAAATGTGCTTTAATGATTTGATCTAGACTTGATTGAATTTTGATTGAACTAATTTTAGTATTATAAGGCTTGTTTTGTCAAGATAGTTAGCTAGATTGTTAACTTACTGAAATTGGGGCCTCAAATGATCTTGAATTTGAATTTGAAATATTTATTACTAAAAATACATTGAGAATCATGCTAGATTATAAAAATTTATTGATAATGCATCAGTGATGGGCCTCAAATGATCTTGAATTTGAATTTGAATTTGAGATATTTATTGCTAAAAATACATTGAGAATCGTGTTAGATTATAAAAATTTATTGATAATGCATCAGTGATATTATTAATGTGATATAAAAGATTTTAGTGATATAAATTTTAAAAAATTAAAATTTATGTTTTAGATATGTAAAAACATCAAATATGGGTGGGAGGTATGTAAGGCCCCTTATTTATATAATATTTTAGTGTCTTATTATTTAAATGTATAAAAAAATTAAGTAATAGGTAACTTAATTCGTGAGAAAAATAAGGTAATAATTCATTACTTCCCGCCTCTGCTTCTGCCAAAGTTGCTTCGGTGCTCGTCACTTCTGCCATTACTCGTTCTTGAGCTTCGACCCCAAGATTGTCACGGCCGAAGCCATGGCAGAAGGTGAGACGGTTGAGATGGAAGCAGGAGGTTCTCTAGGAACCGTTCCTTTCCAGCTCCAGTTTGACAAACAGATTCCATCTCAGGTTCGTTAACCCAAACCCTAAACCCTAAACCTTAAACCCAGAACAGTAATCAATTCCCCCTTCTCGCCTATCCTTCGTATTCCATCTCATTTTCCCATTTTTACCTCTGCGACTCTTTTACCTAACAGGTCAAGATCGCAGAGTGGAATCCTGAGAAGGACCTCCTCGCGATGGTTACAGAGGATAACAAGATTCTCCTCCATCGTTTTAATTGGCAGAGACTCTGGGCTCTTTCCCCAGGTTGATTTCCCTCCTTTTATCTTACTTGAGACTTCATTTTTTGAATAAGGTTATGTGTAAACTTGGACAAACGTGTTTGGCCAGAATAATGGAAAATTTATGACCGAAATTATTGGAATTTTGGTTATTGAGTTATTGTGGAAATACATTAGAGTATGCATATAACTTATTGAAGCAGGATAAGTGGAAGGGCAAGAAACATCACGATGACATGAACTGCACAAACAAAAATTGTTAGAGCAGCTACGCTAAATGAATTTGATGAGAGGAAAAATAAAGAGAGACAATGACAAAAGGATCATCAAGGACCCTGGTAATGATTGTTCAAGGAGAACTCGGGATCGACAAAAAAAATGACACTTAACAATGATGACGGATGGCAACCAAAACACATGTGAGGATGAAGGGCTGTGATGTTCTCATGTGAGGTAGCATGTAGGGAAGCTACTGTGATTACAGAGAGCTCAAGTTGAGTGCGGAGGTTAACCCTTTTTGATGCTTAGCTTAACTTGGCTGTGATTACAGAGAGCCTACCTTTAGCCAACAAACATGCTTGTTTTGATGCTGCAACTGTGATTACAGAGAGCCTTCCTTTAGCAAGAGGTGGGATTAAAATTTTGTATTGTCTAAGAGTTTAGGCTACTCTTAAGCTTGTACCAAACAAGCCTTGAAATGTGATTATGAGCATTAATAACAGCCAACAAAACATGCATCCATGAGTTTTCTTTTGTTGATAGTTGCAAATCTTCTTCAAATTTCCTCACTTCTTCTTCACCTAGTGTTGATTTTCTTACTTATATATCCTGCTCACCTATTAATTATATTTTTCTTGAGGTTGTGTTATTTCCATAGACCTAATGCGTTTTATTGATGTCGTCCTTGTCTCACCTATATTAGCTTCTTTGTCCTTCCCTTGAGTTTATTGTCAGTATTATTCATCATGTTTGAGCTATGCACCTAAAAATAAGATGCGTAGTACTGATGTAATAGTTCTTCTCTCATGTGAGGTAGCATGTAGGGAAGCTACTGTGATTACAGAGAGCTCAAGTTGAGTGCGGAGGTTAACCCTTTTTGATGCTTAGCTTAACTTGGCTGTGATTACAGAGAGCCTACCTTTAGCCAACAAACATGCTTGTTTTGATGCTGCAACTGTGATTACAGAGAGCCTTCCTTTAGCAAGAGGTGGGATTAAAATTTTGTATTGTCTAAGAGTTTAGGCTACTCTTAAGCTTGTACCAAACAAGCCTTGAAATGTGATTATGAGCATTAATAACAGCCAACAAAACATGCATCCATGAGTTTTCTTTTGTTGATAGTTGCAAATCTTCTTCAAATTTCCTCACTTCTTCTTCACCTAGTGTTGATTTTCTTACTTATATATCCTGCTCACCTATTAATTATATTTTTCTTGAGGTTGTGTTATTTCCATAGACCTAATGCGTTTTATTGATGTCGTCCTTGTCTTACCTATATTAGCTTCTTTGTCCTTCCCTTGAGTTTATTGTCAGTATTATTCATCATGTTTGAGCTATACTTCCCAATCATATTGTAGTCATCGCCCTTCATTATTACTCGTGCTATATCATTGTCATGTGTGTTAATGATGGCACAATTATCATTGATTTTATGATAATTTTTATTTATGCCTTAGTCAGAATTGTTGCCACGATCATAATTGATGATACAATTGTTGGATAATAGTTAAAATTAATTAACCTAATTGTTTTATAATAATTCAAATTGATATATTAATTGATTTACCCATAACTAACTGTCATAATTATTTTCTACTCGAGTCTATACATTGTTTCTTCTCTAAACAAATTTTGAGCTTATACTAGGTTTCCTTTTTGGTCTACTGTATGGCTTATGTGTGCTTAATGCCATTTTTCTATGCTCTTGTTTAGCTTATGCTTGCCTAGGGAAATAAATAGCACAAGCTAAGGAAGGAGAACACTTTATCACTCGTTTAATTCAACTTTTAATTGCTGTTAAGCTAGGTTAAACTTGTTAAGGCATCCATTTGTTTTTTTTTTTGCATTTTTAGATAATATTCCTTAAATTAGGCTTATAAGTTGGGACAAACGAATTCCTTTTTTGAGGGGTTATGCTTATCTTACCTTAACTTAAATGTAGGGCAGTAGGGGTAAAGCTGCTTACATCAACGGTTCACCAAACCCCACTTCTACGTAATCCAAATATTTTTGCTATTGACGTTGTGTTTTTTATCTCTAAAACCATTTCATGGTTTCACATTTGACTTTGAACCATTTTAATTACACATCAATAATGTAGGAATTACAATACAAGGAGAACCTTTTATGTCAGAGTGAATCTAATATTTCCTAACATGCTATATTAGAACTTGAAGAATGCATAGTGCTTAGTGATTAGTTCCACAGTGAGTCTATATTTTGCCCAGTGTCAGTGAAAAACTTGGAAGTTGAATCATGTATTTAAAATGTTGTTATTTTTAAACAAAATAATCCAATCAATCCTTCCATGGATAGTAAGTGTAGAACCACAAATATCACCAGAGAATTTGAGGGTATAGATCCTAATAACAATGATAAGATGAGGTACAATCTTTTATACTGGATTGGCTTCTCAAGTAATCTAATGTTCTATCCTGAAGCCTCCTCTTGTAAATTCTGTTGATGACCAATCCATGTAGACAAAATTAGTACACCTTATGGCTTAGAGAGTACACTTTTGACCTCAAGATTAAGTATGGCAAGACGAATGGATATCAAGAAAATGTTACTAGAAATGCAGCCCATGACGCAATAAAATATGAAATTGACTAATGAAAAGACATATATATGAGAAAATTGTAATATTCATCAAGATTTTCCAAGTCAAATAACTTTTGATTATTATTTGAACATTTTAAACCGATATCCAAATCAAAGACTAATAAAATAGGAACTCAAATTGAAAATCTAGCTTTACCTGCCATAGCCAAATGTTTCGAGATCACCTCAAGGAAGATTTGCAAGTATTAGTTTGCATTGAAACATTAAGAAAGGGGAAATTGAAATAAAATAAAGGGCTAAAATTTTATGGTGCCAAGAGCTGGAATAAGTTAATAAGGTTTTTTTTTTTAATAAGCTATAGAGGCCATATGATGCTCTATCTTTGACATCAACTATGCATTTAGGGGCTGCGTTCTGTCAAAGCTTGCACTAATGTATTTTATTGACTTAACACACAAAATAAGTTCGAGGAAACCACACAAATATTGATGGCACTATATTTGTTGTAAAGAAATTACTCAAGATAATTAGGGAGGAATTAGTTTGGACTCTCCCAAAAGTAGCTAATTTCACATGTAAAGTGGAGATTCAACTTAAGCTCGACGTTACCTCTTATGACGATTGATGTACTATTCATGAATTGACTAGCAAGGATCACAAGGGGTTCTGCCAAACAAGGCGAGCCCTTTTAAAAGTTAAGTTCATGTATTTTAATGCAACATCAAATGACCCTAAGGTATTGGCAAACACTGTATAAAATCAAGAGACTTTTTAAAGCCACCAAATACTTATCTTATATTCTGTTTAAACATCATTCCAATGAGTGTATTGATAGGTATCAACTAAAATTGTTGGAATGAGAATAAGAGGATGATGGTTCATGCTACTTACCGTTTGGTTGGCGAGAAGTTTAAAGATGTGACCATAGATGGTGAGTTCTTATTTTACATGCTTGAAAATGTTTTATTTGCCCCAAATTAACTCCTAACCACATAATGCCATGCCATGTTTGGGGCTAGATGCACCATCAATGAAAAGGGGTGTGATTTTTTTGGTGAATATTAGATGCATCGAAATATTATCTCTTCCAATGTTGTTAAATCATTCTGAAGGAGACCTACCAAATATCCGCGTGCACCCATATGGCCATATTAGGGATTCAAGTGAGTCGAGCTGACTCGTGATCCGGCTCAAGCTCCGCTCGATAAGTGGCTCATGAGCTGAGCTCGATGAGCTAACAAGCCATCTCAAGTCAGCCCCGACTCGACTCGTTAGCTCGTGAGCCGGTCATTTAAAAAAATATTAACATAAAATATACTCAAAATGCATTAAATTTCAAAATTTCATCTTTAAGGTATTAAAAATGTTAAGAAAACAATATTTTTTTATCATATATTAGGTGTTTTTTTATTAATTCATCTTCTAATTGTTCATTCTATTTGTCAACTTATTATAAAGTTATTTAAAATTAATATCATTTTCTCCCTTTTATATTAAACATGCTGGCTCGCGAGCCGACTCGAACTCGTAGACTTAAGCTCGAGCTCGATAAAATTAATCAAGCTCAAGCTCAACCGAGGGCAGCTTGAGCTTGACTCAACTCATTTACACTCCTAAACCATACAAAATTTGTTGGATCTAGAAGGGCATGTGGAAGTTTCATTATGGATGTATGGAAGTTGTTCTTTCTGATTGGTAATAATTTTATTTTGAAGCATTTTGTGGTGTTAGAAATCAATGGTTGTCACTTAATTTTATGATGATTTTGAAAATTTGATATGCTGAGTGTGGCGTGATGGCTTTGCTAATGTGCATGCATTTCAGTGGATAGGGGAGAAAATTAGACTCTTCTTGACCCTATCAACTGTCAAATTTGATAGTGTCATTGTTTCCTAAATCCTAGCTGCATACAAGGAGTGTTGAAACATGTTTGCTATTTTATTGGCCGAACAAAATTCTGCGTGAGTAAAAAATTGTGTTGTTTGCATTGTTATAAACAGTTTTTTGATTTAGCTCATAAAGCTACTGAATCAACTTCTATCTCTATGCAGTGTTCAACTCCAAATTGATTTTGTCCTTGGATCCATCATTTCTTAGCTATTGCACTATAAAATAAACACAAAGAATCATACATTTTTACAAGAGTTTGTTGACGAACTTTTTAAAGAACAACTCATTTTTAATAGCTTAAATCCTTGCATAGTACTTTCATTGATTGTTCCGAATGAGGATGGGAAATGTTGAATTTATTTTGATAGTGGAGCAATCAATAATTTATAGTCACGTATAAATTTTCAATGCCATTGTTGGAAGATTTTCTTGTTAAATCGAATGACACAATATATTTTTTTTTAAATTTGATATTCACCATGTATATGATTAAATCGGAATACGAGTAGGAAATGAATGGAAGACCACAGTCAAAACTAATGAGGGGCTATATCAATGGTGGCTTATGCGCTTCATACCTATCGATTTAGACACTACACCTAACACCTTTGTGTGTCTTATGAATGAGGTATTGAACTCATTTCTTGGTTATTTTGCAGCATGTTTTTTTTATGATATCTTGGTTTTTTAGTACATCAATGCCTAACCATTTCTGCGATATTAAATTTCTTTTTGCTGCATTACAAATTCACAAACACTATGCTAATCTACCCCAACGTGAGTTTCTAGTCGAAAGAGTACATTTTTGGGTTTTATCATTGGCCTCAGGATATACACCAACCCAAAGAAGTTTGATGCTATTCAATTATGGCTGATTTCGTCTTCAATGAAAGATGTCTGTTGTTTTCATGGAATTGACAACTTTTATTTCCATTTTATTTGGAATAATAATCACATCATGGTTTCTTTTACTGATTGTCTGAAGCAAACACATTTATTTTGGAAAATAAAACAACGACTAAATTTTAATTCCATTAAGGAACACCTTTGCTATGCCCTCATTTTGGCCATTTCAGTTTTTGATAAACCCTTTCAAGCGAGGGAGGCAAATTAGCCATTGGGTGCTATCCAAAGATGCAAAAATAATAGAATTCTGTAATGAGAAACTTAATAGCACTTAATAAAAATGGTTCACTTATGAGCAAGAACTATATGTGGTAATTAGATCACTGAAATAATGATAAATTTACATATTTCACCAAGAGTTAGTACTATTTAATGATCACTAATCTTTCTAATTACTCAATTCTAATGAGAGTTTCAATCGAATGCATGTGCGTCAGGTTATCTTTTTACAAATAATTTGTTTTGTTCTGAATCACAAAGCATAAAGAACTGATCACATTATGAACACCCTCAATCAGTGAGCCAACTTGCTGGTGGTTGTTTAGATTGACATCATTATTGGGGATACTAAAAAATTTACTTTTTGCAGTCACCGACTTTATCAATCCTTGGTTCAATTGCATTGCACATGAGCCCATTGGTGACTACTGCAATCAGTGAGGCTATCTTTTTAAAGGAAATCAACCGTGCATCCCAAATACATCGCAACTACATTGGCACAGCACCATCCCATGATAGAAAATTGATAGGATTTTTTAGTGAGAAACTTGAATTGGTCCACAATGAGCAAAAGTTACTTTTGATAATTAGAGTATCCTTGCAATGGGAATAGTAACTTTTTCATTAAGAATTTTTGTTGTTCGATGATCGCCAATCCTTCCAAAAGTTCAATTTTCAAAAGAATTTTTGTCAAATGCATGTGCGTTGAGTAATGTTCCTGCAAATGTTCAGTTGTCCTCAAGCAGAAAGCAAGGTGAAGTAATCGTGCTCCCAACACCCTTATTTGAGGAGTCAACTTATCAATTTCAGATGCCAACTCTGAATTATTGATGCAGCAATACTTGTGTGCTGCAGACACTTTGTCAATCCTTGGTCCAAACGCGTTATGCATGACCCATGCATGATAGCTTTCTATGAGAGCTTTTTTTAAGGGAATTAGCTTTGCATCCCACATACAGTTCTTTGGCCCTAATTGATCACAGACATGCATTGAGAGGGGCTTGCTACTCACGCCGATAAAGAAAAAAATGATATCTTTGATCCAAACTAATTCCTTTTTAATATCAACGAACTCTTCACCATGTATGACATGTTTATTTTGAGTTTTATTAGTGCCCTCATATGCCACTTCATGTTTAGCTCAATCCCTACGAGCTTTACTCATGGTTGATTTCACTAGAGGATAAGATATAATAATGTTGTCAGGGCCTTGAAATTTACTTACATAATTCATGTTTTTAATTGAACAACAGTTTTTTGAGCGAGTTTGGCATGCCCTTTCTATCAATCACAACTACTTTGTTATGGATTTTATACTTATTGATTAATTTTTTCACATTTCTATATCAACAGTAAAATGTGAATAAACATACAGACCTTTCAATAAATGTATTGCCTTTGAAGTCTAGTGGGGGTTCACTAAGAGATCCTCATCTAGAGTGTCTTTAACATGAATTGGGTGTCTTGGATCATCTTTAGGCTGTCGACTGTTTTTGAATAATTAGGTTCTAAAACTACTTGTTGGCTTTGTGTGCAAAGTCAAGATGGTTTCGGGGTGGGGTTGGATTAGTTGATAATTTTTTTTTTCTCAAAACAAACCGAGAGTATTGATTGAATCAATTCACACATAGAGAGTGATGTGAAAAGCATCATGAAAGTTGCAATGGAGTATGGGAGTTAAATAACATGATTTGAAAGACAACCTTCAGAAGAGATAACATCTTAAACTAGTCAGGCTTCTCAACTAAGCCTCACTGCACTCTCTAAGCTTCCCATCGAGAATTCCACTTAGGGGTTGTTTGGTTGGATTTTTTTTAAATGCATTTTAAAAATTAAAATCACTTGAAATAAATGAATTATTGAAATGTTGAATTGTTAATTGGATGCAAATCAAATGCATGGAAATATATTTTTGTGTTTGCTATGATTTATTAATTTATTGAATTACGACAGACAATGGTGACGATGGCAGGTGCAATGTGTTGGATGAATTCCAAATTCATAAAAAAATAGGCATTTTCAGATATTCTAAGTACCCTACACGTCTATTTGTGTTTTGATTTGCTCTAGACCAAAAAAAAAAAAGAGAAAATCAAAACCCATTTGTTCCTTTTATTTTACCAATCCAATTCCTCCTACTAAAAACTGAAAACAATCCTCACTAATTCATTAGAACCAATTTAATATGCATCTCTTTCAACTCCAAGGGTGAACCACAACCTTTTCCCAGGCTTAAAGGAGGAAAGAATAACAATAAATGATGTTAAAAAATCAGGCTAAGATACAACAAAGTATGAAATGAAAACAATTACAATGGAGAACTTTCTATGCACCGCAGAACTTGCTAAATTGAGTATCTTTCATGTATAGGATGCAACCAAAGAACAGCAAGGGGTATTTATAACTTAATGAATTAATAGGATGAGCCAAATTGGAGGGAAAGTAGTCGTGATGAGTTCAAAATGAATGTTTTAATTATACAAGCTTGCAAACCCAATACAATCTAATTCTTCTCTTTACAAAACAAATATTGCTTTTGAAAAATTTTAATACAAATAAAAGATGTCTGGGGTGCATCTTTATAAAAAAGTGCTTGATGAATGGGGGCATATGAGATTAGGTGCTGATTGTCCTGTAAAAGTAAGTTTATTTGCTGTGTTAAGTTTAAAAATTTGGTTGACCAGAAGGTTAAATGTTTTTCCTTTCTTGAGTGAGTTAGCCAAATTCACCCGTACTTTTGCCATTCCAACTTAAAATTTCACCCGTACCACTTGATACCCCAAAGTCAACTTCACTTAAAGTAGGTCAGTCAAGTTCACTTAAAATTTTCCTGCTCAATATGGATGCAGCTTGATCGGTCACATGTTTTGGCTTTTTTTCCCTTTATTTTAAGTATGTTTTGTCGGGAAAAAAAAAAGATTTTTTGTCAGATGAAAACAAAACTTAGTTTAGTAGATTACTTTTGTGGTCCTATGTGCTTGATTGACATTTTCACTCAACATTAATTAAATTAGACACGCTAAGAATGAAAATATAAAAGAGCGGGCCTTTCTTTGGCAAAGATCTAGACTTGAGCAGCAAATTTCCTCTTTTATTGATGTAGTACTTGTGCTTTTAATGAGGGCATCTAACTCAAATGTTTGAGGACTATGGACTAGTTTAATGCGCGATGGTGTTTGTATTCATCAAGACAATGATTCATTTCAACAGTATATTATTACTTTATCTGCCAGTAGGTTTTAGGGACCGCATGTGCATAATAAATCCAATGTTGACTTGCTGATGACTTAATTTTTTTTTTTGCAGTTGTTGCAGTATTCATTACTTTACCTAAGATAAAAAAAATATATGATTTGTTTGCCACCCTATTTTTTCACACATTTTTTGTCCACATTCAATTAGCTGTTATTTCTGATTGCATGTATCGTGCATTGCCTTGCTGCTTCTCAGGGAAAGGTATTACATCCCTTTGTTGGCGTCCTGATGGAAAAGCTATAGCTCTTGGTCTTGATGATGGAACCATTTTACTGCATGATGTTGAGGTAGGTTAAACGTTTAAAAATGAGGATTTGTCAAACTGACCATGAAATAGTTGGGATATGACTGATGATGATGTTGAGTTAGAAAAATTAGATAGAAAAAAATGAGAATCAAAGGCTCTAGTATATGCTGCTAATTGTTCACCCACACCAATTAAAAGCGAATGTAAAGTTTATTTCTTTTAATTAAATGACCTAATTTGAGCTTTTTTAACTATGGTTTTCATAATTATATCAGCACTTCTTATTTTTTAAATTTTAATCATTTTGTGGAAATATAATATTCCTTTTCCAAAAGTTATGATTTGCCTGTACTTGATGTGTCTAAGTCCCTTTTTCTTTTTATGGTCTTCACAAAATGGAGTTTTTCCTTCTCGTCATTGCCAACTATCCTTCTCTACTTAAATTTACGTGCTGCATGATTTGTGGTATGCTGATTTATTTAATTTTTTCTTGATAAGGTCGATGAGAATGCTTGTCTACTGTTTTTTTTTTTTTTGAGATACAAGGTTAGATTTGCGAATCTTTCTTCTCCATTAACTCCTAAAAGTAGTCAAAAGTTGCAAAAGTTGGCATCAAGTTTACCACCACCCAAAACATTCTTTTGAAGGACATTAGTAAATTTTGGCGTTTTTTCTTCTTTTCTTTTCAACTTTGCTCGTCTACTGAAGTTTTACATATATTTTAATCATGATGATGAATATGATATATAAGTTTCCTTAATCTCCGTACTCCTTAAGTACGAGTCGATTGAAGCCTAGCATTGCTGCTTTGTCCTGTAAAGATAAAATGAACATTACTTATATTCCTGCAGAATGGGAAGCTATTGAGGGCAGTAAAAACTCACAGTGTTGCTGTTATTTGTTTAAACTGGGAGGAAGTTGTCCAAACGAAGGTATTTTCTCCACCAGTTTCATTTTTTTTTAATTTCTGTTGGGTGGAATAGTAAATTCGGTTGCATATCCTATTTACTGGTTGAGGTTTGTTGCATTTTAATATTTTTGCCATTCATTCATGCAACGTAATGAATTTGCTTTTATGTTTTTTATTTTGGATGCCAGTTTTGTTTACATGCCTCCTTTAACTTCTATGTAGCTAGTATGTGTATATGTGATATAGCTACGCGAAGCAACATGAACATGAAAAGAGTAAATGTTTGGAATGTTATGGTGGTACGCATTTAGACATTATTTAATTCAAAGTAAATTTATACATCACTAGAAGCAAATTATGCCGTTATAAGTATGTATTTAGGTGTATAGAAATTTCTTTTTGAAATTTGAGAATGAATTTGAAATTAGTACAAATGTTAACTTGGGATGGTATTGATGAAATAATATAGAGGATTAATCATAGAATAATATACTCTATGAATTTATGATATTACTAATAATTTTTTTGGGGTTGAACTTTCTTATAAAGAACTTTGTTCTCAAGGCTAATTATATCTTAGGCTATGCTCAAACAACTCTCTATTTAAAAAAAATTACTCTTGTTTATTTAATGATGATTGGTAAGCATACCTTGATATAGGCGAGGATGGGGAAATCCTAAGACATAATAGGGCTCATATTGTGGTTGATATAGATTTATGAGGTGGTGAAAGATATGGGTGAACTCTTAAGAAAGGAAGGTATAATCTTCGGTTTGTGATGAAATTAATCAAATTCTTGTTCGTGAACGGTCCCTTTGTCGAAGAAGATTATTTCTTCAATTTCTAGAAATGTAATCTTGGCATATGGATACTTAAGAAAATGAAAGATTAAGAAGATAGCTTTAAAGATGATGAGACTTATATTTCGAAACATTAGATGATGTCTGATTTATAGGAAAGGCCGAAAGTCATAAATTATGAAAACTGTCGTAGAAGTTTTATAAGCCATGAAGATGCAAAAGAGAATATAATAGTGATGGTAACAACGTTAGGAAGGAGTAATATCCTAAGAAGGGAGTTTAGCCTAGAGAAGGGAAGATTACTAAGTATGGGAATCTCTATCCTAGGGAAAAGACTAACATAAAAGGCAAGCTCCGACCTAAGAGATAGTCTTGCTAATCCTAGCAAAGAAGGACCCTCTTTCACTATGATAAGGTTGATTAAGATCTAACCTAGAGGGCCCTAATGGGTTAGGTGACTATTCCTTACCAATTGGATCTAACTTCATGGACTTAGGTTTGACTAATGGGTCCTAAATGGGTCACCTATGGTCCAAAACCATGTGAGTTCAATCGTGATGAGGGTCAAGTTGGTTTTTCCTAGGGCTAGCTTAATGCTTTAAAGGAAGGTTGAGTTGGCCACTAGTTTGACCAGGAAATTTGAGACCTAATGTGATGCATTAAACTAGGAATTGGGCTAGACCATATTTAAGAAGTCTTGATTATATAGGAGGTGTCTTTGGTTGGTTTAGGAATGTTTGGTTCACCAAAGGATAATTAAGATTGTTCAAACCTTGGTTGGCCATGGGCTGACTTATGGGCTAGCTAGAGTAGTTTGGGTCTTTGTAATGTAGAGCATAGGTTGCTATGGCTATGTACAAACTGCAAGTTTATGTGCGAGTGAGTCTAGAGTAAACTGATTACGAGCTCAATCAAAAGGAAGCACACTCAATTAAACTATTATATACGCTTTAGGGTTCTTGGTTGATTGAGTAGAGAGCATGCACATGATTAGGTTATTTAGAATATTTATTAATGACTAGTTTTAGCCATTTTTAATTTCTATTTATTATGATCTATTAGTTTGAATTCTCTATTATTCCTTTTTTTTCGTTTCTATTTATTATGAGCTATTAGTTTGAATTCTCTATTATTCCTTTTTTTTCTACATCCTGTTTTTATTTTTTTCCTTTCTAATAGATCTTGTAATGGGTATTCATATCCCTCTTGGCATCAATAAGATTTACCTTGAGTGTTAGAGCCATGGTCTTGACTTAGCCGTCAGACCTCTTCTCGTCGTCAGTTTCTCCTTCCCAGCATTGTCCCTTCCTCCAGCATGTTGGATCTCGTAGTCTCTCTTTCGAGTCAGATGCAGTCGGCTAGAGTTTCTTCCAGGTGTCGTTTACCTTTTGCTGGCCGGATGTTGCTCCAGAAGGCTCGTCTTGACTTTCCAGCTGTCGGAAACAGAGCCTTACTGCTCGGTTTCTCTCCAGGTTTGCCGATACAACAATATTCTTCCTTTCCAGCTGGACCGGTCTACGCCCAGTCATCAGTCCAGCCTGTCATACATGTTTCCAGCCTAGGAGGAAGGCTGTCCTTCTGTGTCTTTCCCGGATTGTTGGAGCTTCTTCCCTAGGCTTGATCCATCCCCTCCTGCTTTCGGAATCGTTCGATGTCTCAACAACTCAACATCTCCTTTGGATCAGTTAGAATCATATCAGACTCAAGTGAAGTAGATTCCATCGGAGGGTCAATTCCGACCTCGGTTTCTCTGCAAATCAGAGGAAAAAAAAAAACAACACGAATTTCTTAATTATGACCCATAAACTAAACGAAAATAACTTTCACCAAGAGCCCCAATCTATATCCTTGTTGATCGAAAGACGCGGGAAATTCAGTCATCTCTCTGGTGTGATTCGTGAACCTTCAAAGACTTTCCCAACATGTGGAGCTTGGGAAGCAGAGAATTCCCTGGTCATTTCGTGGCTGATCAACTCTATGGAGGCTTTGATTGGCGGATCATATATGTTCCTTTCACTAGTGCTCTCTGGACGGCAGTCCGCGATACCTACTCGGATGTAGGAAATTTCAACCAACTCTATGAGGTATCTAAGAAAATTGATGAGAGAAAACAAGGACCGAGGACCTTGACCCAAAACTTCAATGATCTAGTTGCATTATGGATATAATGCGACCTGTATTATGACTACGTTTGAGAATCTCCGACCGACGTATCTCTCTTCTAGAAAATTGTAGAAAAGGAGCGCATGGTCCAATTTTTGGCAGACCTCAATAGAGATCTTGACGAAGTTTGAGGCCATATTCTTGGTTGAGATCTTCTTCCTTCCACTTGCATTGCTTTCACTGAGATTCGTCGCAAAGAGAGCCGGAGACTTGTCATGCTTGGTTCTTACACTCTTTGTATCCGCCTTGGTCTCTAATAGTGCTCAACCTCGAGCTCATCACCCCACTTATGATCACTGTTATAAACCCAACCACACTAATGATAAATTTTGGAAGTTTCACGGGAAATCTGTATCCAAACCGTCGGCCAGATCTCTCGTCGCCAAGGGTCTCGCTACAAATTCTTAATCCAACACAATACAACCGACCTCTACCCAAAAGAATAAAAAATCCTCCAACTCTCTTAAAAGTCAAATGAAGCACTTAATCAAGCTGCTTGGATCCAGTCCGCTCACTTTCAACCCATTGACCTCCCACGTCCGTCAAGGTACCAATTCTATGACATTCAATTCTTTTGCCTCTTTTAGTCAATGGAGCATTGATTCATGTGCCACATACCACATGACTGGAAGCTCTCAAGCCTTCTCGACATACTATCATCGCTAGGAAAATATACTGTTAAAATTGCCGACGGGTCCAAAAGTTTCATTGCCGTTAAAGGGTTTGTTGTTTTAACAACAAGTTAACTCTAGAATATGTGTTACATGTCTTTATTATGATACATGTGTCTTTAATGATTGACTATTCCTCTAGGTTTTGACTCCATTGCTTCTCAGGTCATGTAGGACACAAAAGTTCCTATATGGATTGAAGCAATCACCACGAGCATGGTTCGAGAAGTTCACAAAAGTGGCGGTGGACCATGAATTTACTCAGGCTCAATCAGATCGCACTCTCTTCTTCCGACATTTCTCCAACAACTAGGTAGCTATCCTTATCTTCTATGTTGATGATATTGTTCTCGTAGGTAATGATCTTCCAGCATAAGAGTCTTTGTAAGACATTCTTTCTGCTTCCTTTGAAATGAAGAACTTGAGATCTCTCCGATACTTCTTAGGCATTGAAGTTGTTCGGTCATCTCAGGGTATTTTCCTGTCTCTGCGGAAATTAGTGATTGATCTTTTGACAGAGAACAATTTTCTCCTGTGCAAACCAGTGCTGTCCCGATGTAACCCAATAAAAATTTCTTGATATTCCCAATGCAGTTCCTGTAAATTTGACTCACTACCAACGCCTTGTGGGGAAACTCATATACTTTGCCCATACATGCCCCGACATTTTCCAAACAATTGGAATAATCACTTAATTCATGCATGATCCCTTTGAGTACCATGTCCAAGCTGTCTACCAGATTCCACTATTTATAAGGCACACCAGACTCAGTTTTATTTTTTTCTCGCCATATCTCTTGTTCTATTACAATTTACAGAGACGCTGATTATGTCAGGTATGTCAATGATCTGCGATCTACCTCTGGGTACTGCTCTTTTTTGTGGAAAAACCTCGTCATCTGGACAAGCAAGAAGCTGTTTGTAGTTGCTTGGGCAATGCAAATGTCGAATTTGGGTCCATGTCCTTAGGATTTGTGAAGTTATCTGATTACACATCTTGCTCCACGAATCACGTATGACAATCTCGGTTCCCTTACAGTTTTTCTGTGATGACAAGGCAGCCATTAGCGTTGCTCATAACCTGGTTCAGTATGATCGCATCAAGCGTGTTGAGATTAACCAAAACTTCATTAAGAAAAAGCTATAGTCCGAGGGCAACTGACATATATTCTTACTAAATCCTGGTTTGGCGATGCGGTGAAGTTTTGTTGCGGTTCGGAGAACGCCGACAAACTTTATTGACGTCGTTTGGTACAACACGTCGCTGAAATACTATTTTATCTCCGTTTCATATCGCGAGATCGACCTGACGTTTCACTCTGTTCTCTGTCCCTGTTCTTAAAAAAAATCCCCATTGTTTTTAAATTCAACGCATTTCCTCTCCGTC